TGTGCAGAATAAAGGATGGGGAGGAGGTTTTTCCAGCTCAGCTTCTGGGACACTGCCACCTTGGACAGAACCATTAGTCTTGTGTAGTTGAGGCTTGTGGGACTAGATGATCTGCCACAATTTTATATAAATCCCCCCCCCTCCCCGCAACACAATTCATCCCACTTCCGAGACGAAGAGGCCAGGCCTTCTTCCCAGGATCTACACTCCAGCCCCCAGTGGCCTCCTCAGCAGCTACTTCTTATCCCTCATCAGGTGGTGTTCTGGAAGTAGGAAGAAGGTGGTTCAGGCAGTCATGGCTGGGAGTGGCTGGCCCAACCCTGTCTGAGGCTTGGTGCCAGGTGGTGCCTGCCCAGGGGCAGAGAACCAACCTCTGCCAGACTCAGGAGTCTGGGCTGGCAGGGGCCTCCAGGGAAGAGAAGAGAAGGGAGGCAGGAGCCCCAGCAGTTAAGGCAGGGACTGGCAAGGGCAAAGGAATGAAGGGTAACTAGAAGGAGCAGAGCCCCTGAGCCACCCCACCCCTAAGTCCTCAGTCCATAATCTCCTTCACTTCTTAGTCCTGCCTCCTTCCCCCCTTGGTCAGAAACTTAGTGAGCCAAACCCTTAGCATGCCCCAAACTGAAGGTCTCCGGAATGAGTTGGGGGCTGGCAAGCTGGCTCTGGTTGGCTCTAGCTGAGTCCAGCAGCTCACTGGCACCATCTGCTGGCCTTTGGGGGAGGGTGTGGCTCTGAAGGGGATAAAGAGAAGAAGACTGCTGGATCTGAGAATGGGGGAAACAGAAGTCTGGGTTGGTGGATGCCAAATGGCAATCTCCAAGAGTTTGCCTTCTGTCCCCTGACCACACCAGGGGTCCTGGAGCCAAGCACTCCCTTATCATCTCCTGTTCCTGCTGTGGTCCAACTCAGAGGCAGCGAAGTCCCAGGGAGGCCACTCATGCCCTAGCCCCTTTTTCCCTTGGACACTTGTGAAACTACCATTGTGGGTGTCCCCATGGTTCCCTTTCTGAAGCTTCTCTTCTTTTGGGTGAACCTCTGGCTGTGGAAACCCTTCCCCACCATGAGCTCATCTTCCTCCTCACATGCTGGTGACTCCCACGCTCCTTTCTAGACAAGGCCTTGCTCTTGACTCTAGGCGCACATGTCCCACTGCCCCGGATGCCTCCTTTGGACACCCATAGGCCCCTTACACTTGGCATGACTAAACGTGGTCTCATCTTCCCTAGTTCTCACCGCTACCTTCTCCCCACCTCATCCTTACTCTTCATTCCGTGCACTGGCCTTTAAACTTCTTGCTTTGTCCCAGCCCCAAGTTGGGTGCAGAAGCCTCACACTCGCCTTTTGTAGTAGGTAGCATTATTACTATTTTACATTTAAGGAAACACGGGCTTCCAGAGGCTAAGAAAATTGTTCAAGGTCTCAAATTCAGGTAGACTTGAGTTTAAATCTTAGACCAGTCCCAAGATTCAAACTCAGGTGTCCCTGAGTCCAAAGTCTGAGCTCTCGAGAACCGTGTTAATGCAGGGTCACGTTTGCCATATGTGGCCTCTTAAACTTTATTCGGAGGGAAAGGAGAGCTGGAGATGGTCTTGAGCAAATGAGACCCCTGTCCTGGTTGGCCAGGAAATGGATTTGGGGATAGAGGAAGAGTGGAGACTGGGGGTCCTGTTGCTGCATCCAGACGAGGGACAGAAGCAGAGATCTGTTTAGGACAAACCAAGCCCAAGGTGCTTGTGGACATGCAAGGGCTGAGCCCAGAGGCAGCTGGATGTCTGTTGTCCCCAGCATATCTCTCAAGTGGCCCGGGATCCCGGGAGATTGCCAGCTCACCTCCTCATGCCCTGGGCAGAAACTGGACCCCCTTTCCCATTTTCCAGTGTACCCCATCTAGGCCGTGCACCTTGAAATCAGGCCCTTCGGTTACTGAGGAGAGGGGAAGTGGGACGTTGAAGCACCGCTTGAGTTTTCAAACAGCGTCTGGCACCCTCATCTTCACTTCAATTTTGACTCCAGGATTGAAGGCAGATGTTTAGAGATTAGGGCCCTTGAGTTTGAGAAATACTAAGATAGTGTGCTCTGAAGCGTTTTCTGGACCAGCCCCAGGGGAAAGGCAAGCCCCAGCTGGGAACACTTGTGGGGAGAGCTTGGCTGACTCCAGGTGAAACTGTCCTTGGATCCTGCCATGTGGCTTTGAGTTATTCATAACCCCCTTGTTGTATTTACCCTGTGCTTGCTGTATACCAGTCCTTGTGTGCAGCTTGCTTATATTTTATTTTATTTACTATCCTCACATAATTAATATGAAGCAGGTACTATCATTATCCCCTTCCTATACATGAGAAGACAGACTCAGAGAGGTTAAGTGACATGCCCTAGGTCACAGAGCAGTCCAGCCATAGGTCACAGAGCAGTCCAGCCACCATGCTCCTAAACATCAGGCCACTCTGCTCCTTGGCCTGCGGCCTAGGAGGTTGACATTGTGCAGTGGACAATACTCAGGCAAAAGACCATCAACCTTTTAAAAATTGCTTCTGGATTAGAAACGTGTCTCTCAGTGGTAGAGTTAAGGCAAGTTGTTAAAACTAATTCCAAAAACTTGCTTCCTTACAGCTTCTGTCACCCCTGATTTAGGCCTTTTCTTGGCAGAACAACCATAAAAGATACAAAAATTAGTTGCTGTTGGCTGGCTGGTTTAATTTATTTGCATATACATAATTCAGCCCCACCCCTAGCGGCTAATACTCGGCCTGG